ATTGCTCACTGTATTACTTGGGTGTAGTTAAATGGTGCAGTCATGTTTAAAAAAAACCCAGTCAGTGCTTTCCACATAGAAACCCACTGAAGGGGGAAATTCTCCTGGAACCTCCAACACATCAAGGTCTCAGTTTCCTCTGAATTGTCCCATTTGGAGTAAGGAGAAACAAGGATATTTGCCCCTTAAACCATGGCTGTTCTGGGATCCAGAGGGAAATCCTGCATTCTAAGAACCTCCACAACGTTCCCATCTTTCATGGCAGTACAGCTCTTTCCAAAGCCATTGTCCTTTGCAGGCCGTTGCTGGTGGCTATCCGTGAAGCCTCCCTCAGGGGATGTCTGGATGGCAAATACTAGGAGATAATGCTCAGAAGGGACATCACCCATTCTTTCTGCTCAGTAGTTACTCAGTACCTGAATCCGTTATGTAAACCTGGGCACAACACACATACTGGGCATGCTCAGGGCCCTATTTCCTGCATGTTATAATTTTGTCAAATCAAAAGGTCAAGACATCTCTAGAAACAGTGAAGAGTTATCCAAAAAGACTAGTTCTGTCCCCTATGGAATGAAAGCCAGACATGGGGTGGTCATTCAAGGACAGCATGTTAAACCTAGCAATTAAACCACAAACTTGGTGACCAAACTGAGGAAGAGTCCAGAAAATACCATTTATTGGCTCCACCTGAAAAAGAAGAATGAAATAGAAGTGCTTATCCAAGTACTTTTTTCTGAGTGAACATTTCTATCAGCTAAATTACTGGCACATCTTGGAGAGCAGAGATTTGGATCATCACCACCACTAGTTGCAGACACATCATCATCATCATCATCATCATGTATTAGTATCTCTTGGTGCTACCACAATACAATTGTTGGACCCTGCACAGCTTTCTCTTTGGGAACCTGTGACAGCTTTCATTTGCAGTGATACAGAAACAGTTTCTAAAAACTGAGCATAATTTATTTTGCACCAAAGGTTACACAGTGATTAAGAGAAGTAGATTTAAAATAGCAAAGAGACCCACTCGCATATTGACTTACCTAAGCTTAACCTCTCTATCTGTAGCTCCAGGGAGTCTGGTTTATTCCCCATCTTGGACTTAGGAGAAATGGCCCACTCTGTTTGCAGCTCTCTCACTGTCTCCGAATAGCTCAGTCACACAGTCAGCCTTTTCACTAATGCATGCTGGCCAGCCTCTCGCAGCTCACCACACACCCCAATCCCTACCTTTTCTAGGTTCTGAGAGCTTTTTTGAGTTCCCTTTGATCTCAAACTTAGCCTTGGGAGGGGTTAAACTTCCTAGCCTGGATGGAGCCAGCCATTGTTACTTTAACTCCTATGTTCTGCCGCCATTAACGGCCCAGCCATTGTTACTTTAAATCCTTTGAAGCTATGTATGGGAGGCTGACTTTACCTCTATCATTGTTTTACCTTTCCTGCTAAGCTCTGTAACAGCCTCCTTTGATTTAGCTCTGTGCAGTCAAGCAGGCTGCAGTACAAAACTGAACTGGGAAACGGAGTCACACAATATTCAGAAGAGATAATACAGACATTTTCTCAGCTTTTCACACATGGAGCAGCTACAAAGAGTTGGGCACCAAGCGTGTCATTCCAGCAGACCTGGTTTCGAAGCAGGATCATGTAACAACAAGTGTCATCTCATTATCGTCACCAGAAGATATTTGACCACATCAAATAATGCCATACTACCCATGAAATCTGCCTTAGTGAAAAGCTCCCTCTAAGGGAAGACCATGTGCTGGAATAATACTTTACATTACAAGTAGGACTGTCAAGCAATTAAAAAAATTAATCGCAATTAATTGCACTGTTAAACAATAATGGAACACCATTTATTTAAAGGTTTTTGGATGTTTTCTACATTTTCAAATATATTGATTTCAGTTACAACACAGAATACAAAGTGTACAGTGCTCACTTTATATTTTTGATTACAAATATTTGTACTGTAAAAAGCAAAATAGTATATTTCAATTTGCCTAATACACGTACTGTAGTGCAATCTCTTTATAATGAAAGTTGAACTTACAAATGTAGAACTATGTACAAAAAATAACTGCATTCAAAATAAAACAATATAAAACTTTAGAACCTAGAAGTCCACTCAGTCCTACCTTCTTTGCATTTTGTCAAATCTGCTGTGAAAGTGTTCTTAAAACAAACGTGTGCTGGGTCATCATCCGAGACTGCTATAACATGAAACACATGGCAGAATGTGGGTAAAACAGAACAGGAAACATACAATTCTCCCCCAAGGAGTTCTGTCAGAAATTTAATTAACAATTTTTTTTTTTTAAGGAGCATCGTCAGCATGTCCTCTGGAATGGTGGTCGAAGCATGAAAGGGCATATGAATGTTTAGCATATCTGGAATGTAAATACCTTGCGATGCCAGCTACAAAAGTGCCATGTGAATGCCTGTTCTCACTTTCAGGTGACATTGAAACTAAGAAGCAGTCAGCAGTATCTCCCGTAAATTCAAACGAACTTGTTTGTCTTAGCAATTGGCAGAACAAGAAGTTGGACTTAGTGGACTTGTAGGCTCTAAAGTTTTACATTGTTTTGTTTTTGAGTGCAATTATGTAACCAAAAAAAATCTACATTTGCAAGTTACACTTTAACGATAAAGAGACTGCACTACAGTACTTGTATGAGATGAATTGAAAAATACTATTTCTTTTGTTTATTGTTTTTACAGTGCAAATATTTGTAATAAAAATATAAAGTGAGCACTGTACACATTGTATTCTGTGTTGTAATAGAAATCAATATATTTGAAGACGTAGAAAAACATCCAAAAATATTTAATTTCAATTGGTATTCTATTGTTTAACAGTGCGATTAATCGCAATTAATTTTTTTAATTGCAGTTAATTTTTTTTTAGTTAATTGCATGAGTCAACTGTGATTAATCAACAGCACTAGTTACAAGCCATGAATGCAGGGCACTGAAAGAGCTCTGAATATAGACTATGCAAATTCACAATGCCTCAGTAGACTTTGCAATGGTAACTAGATCAAGTCTTGGACTCACTGAAGTCAATGGCAAAACCCCCATTAACCTTGATGGGACCAGGATGTGGCTCCTTTCTCGTGGCACAGAGAGGAGTCCCTTTGAGTGGAGGCACCAAGCACCAAGAACAGAAGCCAGGACCTGAGCCATGTGAGGAGAGGGGAGAAGCTGCTCCAAATAATAATAGTGATAGTAAGTACCAGGGCAAGAAAAGGAAGGAGGCTTAAGCCACAGCTTGGGGGGAAGGGCTACACACAGATGTACCACTATATTTTCTTTTCTACAAAAATCCCCAAAAGAAGTTGACACAGTAACTAAGTATGAGAGAGAGAGAACATTTAGTGGTGTGTCACGATGAACCAGACACATAAATGCTGATTTACAACCTAATTCAGACGGGTGCTAAACAGCAATGAGTTGGAGTTCAGAACTCTCAGGATCAGATCCTACCATCATAGTGAAAATAGGCGGAACACATTTAAAAGCTCACTGCTTTGCACTGTCAGGGGGGGTCCATGGACTATCGGAAGAGTTGCACCACTCAATCAATATGTGAAGGATGCAGCTTCTTTCTTGAACTTCTGGAATCAATGGACTAGATCCTCAACCTGACGTAAATCAGCTTAGTTCCATTTAAGGCAAAGGAGCTATCTGATAACCCCACATTGCATTACAGATAATTAACCAATGAGTAATCTACTGATAACAGCTGGATTCTTTGACCCATATCCTGCTATTGATCTCTATTGTAAATTTCCCATTGACATACAAGAAAAGTGTAACTTTTTTTCAATGTCTTTCTACACCAGTGGTTTTCAACCAGGCATACACATACCCCTGGGGGTATGCAGAGATCTTCCAAGGGGTACATCAACTCATCTAGATATTTGTCTAATTTTACAACAGGCTACATAAAAAGCATTAGCAAGTCAGCAAAAGCTAAAATTTCATATGACACCTTGTTTATACTGCTCTATATATTATACATTGAAATATAAGTACAATATTTGTATTCCCATTGATTTATTTTACAAGGATATGGTAAAATTGGGACAGTAAGCAATTTCTCAGTAATAGTGTGCTGTGACACTTGTATTTTCATGTCTGATTTTGTAAGTAAGTGAGGTGAAACTTGGGGGTATGCAAGACAACTCAGACTCCTGAAAGGGGTACAGTAGTCTGGAAAGGTTGAGGGCTATTGCTCTACACCAGGGCTCTCAAACTCAAGTCACCATGAGAACCACATGAGGACTAGTACATTGACCCAAGGGCCGCATCACTGAAACCTTTTCATACAACGATACAAAAGTATAGTCAAAAATGAAAAAAATGAAGAGTAATATAGTATGCTATTAAAAGTTAATGTATTAACTTTTTTAAAACTGTAATGCAAAACGTCAGTGCTAATTTTGACCATCATTTCAAACTCCCCATTCCAACCCCTTCCCCAAATCCCCCACCCCCACTCCACTCCCTCCATGAGGCCCTACCCCTTCCCCAAAGTCCCCACCCCAACTCCACCCCCTCCCTGCCCTTATTCCAACCCCTTCCCCAAATCCCCACCCTGGTCCCGACTCTTCTCCACCTTCTCCCCTGAGCACACAGCATCCCCGCTCCTCCCTCCTGGAAAGTTCTAAGCACCACTAAAACAGCTGTTTGGTGGTGGGAAGTGCTGGGAGGTAGGCGGAGGAGCGGGGAGGAGAAGGGGGTACAGAAGGCGATGGGAGCTTGGCTGCCGATGGAGTCAATGCCTATGGCGGGCCACAGTAAATAACTCCGCAGGCCACGTGTTTGAGACCCCTGCTCTGCACCATACCCATTACAAAAAATCCATACATCACGTGGTATCAAACTAACAAGCAGCCCAGGTTTGAGATGATTTTATCATACAGGGCGATTGTATATTTTTTGGATGCAGAGATTTTGGCCTGATGCATTGTTGATTCCTTGCATATTTTCAGGAAGCAAGACAATGATAGCATTAAGATCAGCACTCTGTGCCACAACCCACAGCTCCCAGTAGAAAATGTAATGGTTCCAAATTACAACACCTCACGGTGCATCATGACCCATCAGTCTAGTGAGGAAGGAATATTTTACATCTGTGGTTGTGTGGATGAACAGGAATGCAACGATAAACTCATATTTGAAAACCACACCAATGGTGAGTATTTATTATTATTATTATTATTATTATTATTATTTAAATGACGGCATGTCACTTTAAAGGTGCACTACTCCCACTGGAAGCCGCAGCCCTCCGCACTTTTGAAATTCAGATTAATAGGTATTAAGATCAGAGAGGACCATTAGATCTTCTACCCTGACCTCCTGAATGTCACAGGCTATAAAGTTTCATGCCGTTATCCCTGCACTGAGTCCAATAACTTTCACTGGACTAAAATAGATCTTCCAGAAAGGCATCCAGTCTTAAACTGAAGTCATCAAGAGATGAAGAGTCCACCATTGGCCTGTGTTTCCTGTGGCACAAGGGGCTCAGATTAGAAACTGAAAGTCTGAGGGACCCACACTTAGTCAACACTTCTGAAAATTGTAGCTACAATAAATCATGAAATTCTAGAGCAAGTTCTACCCAGATACACCCATGAAATCCCACTGATGTCAGGGTGTGTCTTCACTTCAAAAAAGATAGTGTTTTTAAAAACCACAGAACAACTAACATGTGTGACTTATTCTTTTTCTAAAATCCCTGTGGAGACAAGACACTGTAGCTTTTACTAAGGTAGCTAGGGGAGGTCAACACTAAACCCCTGACTACAGTTCACCTCACCTAGTTTACTTCATGGTACAACTATAGAGCCTTGTTTCCACTAGGATTTTAGAGCAGGATTGCTCGCACACATTAGTTCACCTTTTGGGGGCAAAGCCTCACAGGAATTGCCCAGGTGTAAATGAGAGCAGAAAAAAAAGTTACTAACCTTTTATAACTGTTGTTCTTCGAGATGTATTGCATATGTCCACTCCACTCAGTTGCTGGAAATTTTTTTACTCAGTGGTACCTGTGGGGGCAGCTCAAACACCTTCTGCAGCCGCGTGATGCTGGGGATGGTATAAAGGGCCCAGATGACCCTTTACCCACTCCATTCCTTCTTTCTGGAAACTCCAGTGCCAAGGGGGGGGAGGGTGTTGTGTCATGGAATGGACATGTGCAACACATCTCGCAGAACAATTATGAAAGGTTAGTAACCGTTTTTGCTTCTTCAAGTGATTGCACATGTGCATTCCACTCTTGGTGACTGCCAAGCAGTTAAATAGGCTGGGGAATCAGAGTTCATGGTCACAAAGACTGCAATACAGATCAACCAAATTTGGCATCATCTCTTGAATACTGAATGGCGGCGCAATGGCAGGAGAAAGTGTGCACAGATGACCTGGTTGCTGCTTTGCTAATGTCCAGGATACGGATCTGCACTGGAATGCTGTTGAGGATGCCTGATATCTTGCAGAGTGGGCAGTCAGCTTGTCTGGGAGAGAGACACCTGCCAGATCATAACACATGTGGATACAAGAAGTTATCCGAAATAAAATTCTGTGTGGAGATTGAAAGACCTTTCAATTCTGTCCACTATGGCCATGAACAGTTGGGTGGGCCGCCAAAATGGTTTGGTCCTGACTATGGGCTTGGCTATACTTGCAGATGTAGAGCGCTTTGGGTTAAACCAGCCTTCGTACAGCGCAGTAGGGAAAGCGCTGCAGTGTGTCCACACTGACAGCTGAAAGCGCACTGGCGTGGCCACATTTGCAGCACTTGCTGCTGCATTGGGAGCGGTGCATTATGGGCAGCTATCCCAGCGTTCAAGTGGCTGCAAAGTGCTTTTCAAATGGCGAGGTGGAGTGTGTTCTGTATATGTGGGGGGGAGCAAGGGTGGGTTTTTGGGGTGCTGAGAGTGTTTCAGCATGCTGTCTTGTAAGTACAGATCCCGCGCCCCACCCCCACCCCAAAGCAAACAGCTGTTTGTTTTTTTTTCTCAGCACTGATAAGCAGCCAGCATGCCACAGAAAAGGAACTTTGAAAGGGTCCCTTCCGCATTTCTGACGGAGTTCACAACAAAGACAAGAGAGGCCACTTCAGTTAATGGGATTATGGGACGTTTCCGGAGGGCAATCAGAGCGCTGTAATGCAACTCCTCGTTCACACGGACGCTGTAGCGTCTCACCCAATACGCAGCACACCTTATCCCTCTCGGGGAGGTGGAATACCAGCAGCGCTCTAGCCAGGGAGTCAGAGCACTCTACGTGCCTTGCCAGCGTGGACGGGGAGTGAGTTAGAGCGCTCTGGGCGGCTTTATTGCGGTATAACGTGCAAGTGTAGCCAAGGCCTATGTAAATGCCAGTGCTTGTCTTACGCCCACTGTATATATCTGTTGCTCCTCCCTATTTGTATGTGGTTTGGGGTAAAATGCAGGAAAGTAAATTGATTTATTGATATAAAAATCTGAAACTACCTTAGAGAGAAACTTCAGAGGAGGGCATAAGTACACCTTCTCCTCACAGGAGACACTGTATGGTGGTTCAGATGTAAGAGAATGCAGTTCGGAGACTCTTCTAGCAGAAGTGATAGCAATTAGGAAAACCACCTTCCAGCAAAAGGTGTAGTAAGGAGCATGTTGCAAGAGGCTCAGTTGGTGGCCCCATAAAGTTGAGACAAAACGAAGTTCAAATCCCAATGGGAAATGAGTTCCCTTAGTTGAGGATACAATCTTTCCAGTCCTTTAAGGAACCTAATTGTCATATCATTAGGAAAACAGAACAGTTATCTACCTGAGAGTGGAAAGCTGTCAGGTGAGTCTTAATAGAGAAAATCCCTAATAACACTAACTATGAATTTTTAGAGTAAGCAAATCATTTTTATGAATGTAAATGATGCTAAATTTGCAGGTCTTTACAGTTTCCAAAGCCAAATATAGCAGGTACATGAACTTCGGGGAGCTGGGGGAGGAGGGGAAGAGAAGTCCAAAGCAAAGTCCAAATGCTGATATCTGCGTATATCATTTTACACAAAAATAGTGACTGGCTCTTTGGAAATGCCACTGCCACCAAATATTTTCACAAAACGTATTGTGTTGCCAAATGATATATCAAAATGTTATACATTGAAACAATAAGGTTTCAGACTAGTCAGTCATAGAATCATAGAAGATTGAGGTGGAAGAGACCTCAGGAGGTCATCTAGTCCAACCCCAACTAAATCCTCCCAGCCAGGGTTTTGTCAAGCTGGACCTTAAAAACCTCTAAGGATGGAGATTCCACCGCCTCCCTAGGTAACCCATACCAGTGCTTCACCACCCTCCTAGTGAAATAGTTTTTCCTCATATCCAACCTCCCCTACTTGCTCCTTGTTCTATCATCTGCCACCACTGAGAACAGCCAAACTCCATCCTCTTTGGAACCTCCCTTCAGATAGTTGAAGGTTGCTATCAAATCTCTTCTCACTTCTGCAGACTAAATAAGCCCAGTTCCCTCAGCCTCTCCTGTGCCCCAGATCCCTAATAATTTTTTGTTGCCCTCTGCTGGACGCTTTCCAATTTGTCCACATACTTTCTGTAGTGGTGGGGCCCAAAACGGGATGCAATACTTCAGATGTGGCCTCACCAGTGCCGAATAGAGGGAATAATCACTTCCCTCAATCTGCTGCCAATGCTCCTGCTAAAGCAGCCCAATATGCCATTAGCCTTCTTGGCAACAAGGGCACACTGCTGACTCTCATCCAGCTTCTCGTCCACTGTAACCCACAGGTCCTTTTCTGCAGAACTGCCACTTAGCCAGTAGGTCCCCAGCCTGTAGCGGTGCATGGGATTCTTCCGTCCTCAGTGCAGAACTCTGCACTTGTCCTTATTGAACCTCATCAGATTTCTTTTGGCCCAATCCTCCAATTTGTCTAGGTGACTCTGTACCCTGTCCCTACCCTCCAGCATATCTACGTCTCTCCCCAGCTTAGTGTCATCTGTGAACTTGCTGAAGGTGCAATCCATCCCATCATCCAGATCATTAATGAAGATGTTGAACAAAACCAGCACCAGGACCGACCCCTGGGGCACTCTGCTTGATACCAGCTGCCAACTAGAAATCGAGCTGTTGATCACTACCAGTTGAGCTCGACAATCTAGCCAGCTTTCTATCCACCTTATAGTCAATTCATCCAATCCACACTCTTAACTTGCTGGCACGAATACTGTGGGAGACCATATCAAAACCTTTGGTAAAGTCAAGATATATCACTTCCACTGCTTTCCCCATAGCCACAGAGCCAGTTATCTCATCATAGAAGGCAATCAGGTAATTGCTCTTCTGCTTTTATCTATCATCTGCCCATCTTGCCAATGACAACTTTGCAAGACCCAGACTTGATTCATCTCCTTACAAATGGTTTATATCTTCTTATAGGATTTTAGAAGATTGTTTGCATTTTGTTTTTTCAAACTTTAACCTTAAATATTAGAGACACAAAATCTGATTAAAGACAAATGATTATGAAGGAAATGACTAAAGCAGATAAGCATTTTTCCAAAGCAATTTTCCATTTATTTACAGTCTTAGGGCCAGCCTTCATTAAGGAAATCTGGGACTCCCAGTGTGACACTGCACTAGTGTAGAAGAAAATTTGCAGTGGAATGATTTACTCTGGTAATTCGCTGGGACTAAGCTACACAAATGCAACATGTCTACACTGGAGCTCATCAGTGATCCCATTACATGTGCAGATGGGTCATTTCCTCTCCTCCCCTCCCACAAGCTATGCTTGAGAACCCCAGCCTAGGAAGCAAGGCGCTGGTGGTGGAAATTGAAATGATGCATTCAGAAGATGCCATTTCTTGTTAAATATTGAGGTGACACTTCAAAACGTTGTGCTGATGGAGCTTGGCCTAGGAGTTCGAATTCACATCAGACAGGGATTGAATTAAATGCCCAGTAACGCACTGCAATATTTGGTTTTCAACGTGCTGCCTGTGTTTTCAGAAAAAAAATCTACACATTTAGTGGCCACACTCACATCTGGGGATTTTGCAGCATGGAGGAACATCATTGTTAAGGAATTGGCAAAAGTTATGCTCACAGCTCTGACTATTTGTTAGCAGGATTCATACATGTAATTCCCTTAAAAAAAAAAAAAACACCCTGAAAATTCTTTACTCGCACTCTGTTGAACTTCAGCTTTTCAAAGAAGTGATCATATCCATCGGGTAAACCCTTCAGAGCAGTAGGTGATACCCACGCCTAGCACTTTCCAAAACCAACATATTCCTGGGTTAGTTATCGATTTATAGCCCTTTGGGCTGATCTTGTGGTTTGAACCTGATGCCTATTGTAAAAATACTTTCACAGCTTTGCAGAAATTAGCTGCAACGGATTTTTTTGGAATTTGCCAAGTAAAACAAGCCAAGGGATCCGTTTTTCCAGAGCCTGAATTATAAACTGTACACGGAGGTCAAACAGCGGGGGATTTTGCTTAAGGAATGCATGTTATATTCCTTCCCCTCAGTTATTGTACTTGGCAGAAAAATATCTGAGTAAGATTTTACTTGAATATCTCTACTGAAGTCAGCATTTTTACTCCAGGAATTGCAAACATCAAAGGATCAGCTAATTATATGTTGTGTGAGGGTCTTCTTCAAGTGATCTGAATGCTGAGAGGGATTTTTTTAAAAACATTCTTGGTCAATATTTGGGTGAAACGTTTTTGTTTTTCATATTTTGTTAAAAGTTTTCTATGGGCAGTCAGACCCTCAGCCACATTAATCTCAAATTATATTCATTCACACTAGCAGTAATGCCAGGAACTCACTCACTCTCTCTCATCATTCTGATTCAGATATCTTTGCTCATTTTTAATAGCGCCCTGCTACAAGAGTAGATTCACTGAATTCAATAGAAATACTGTGCAGTAAGATACTCCTCAGTTAATACTGGCAGAATTTAGCCCGATATAAGACTGCATCTAATGCACTGACAGAAGAGTCTCGTTCTCCATTCCACCTTAATCCACAGCTTTATCTCCATTAACAATTTACATTTGATTAGAACACCATTGGTTTTGACTGTTTTGCAAAGGGCTTCTGTTTATGAACCAGATTCCCGGATCCAAACTATCCCAATCTTTGAGGTGTTCAAAATGCCAATACAGACTTTCCAGCTTTGTTTCATTATTGGCTTTCGGATCACTGGACGATTTGTGCACATAGTTTATAATAAATCAGTTTTAATAGGTCCAAGATGTTGATGAACTAATATACACATGGGTGGTGTGCACATTGCATAATCAAAGGATGTAGACGAACCAACCAACAAGATTTCCTGACATGACCTCAGTGAGGATGCCGCATATCAAGGCCACTTGGGACTTCACGGAGACAGCAGGGATAGAACCAAAACTCTTCTCTTGATTAGTGGAGCAGTAGAAATATGCTGGGCTTTGTGTGCAAGTAGTCACAGGTTGAATCCCACCTCATCTGTTACAGAGAAGATGAATGTTCTCATACCTTGAAATTTGGTGAGCAAGTGTGGCCTAACAGAACACTGGACTGGGACCCAGGTGCCCTGAGTGCTATTCCTGGTGCTGCCACTGGCCTGCTGGTTGACTTTGTCACTTTACCTCTTTGTACCTCAGTTTCCCTATATGGGAATAATGATACTCACCTCCTTTGTAAAGTGCTTTGAGGTGTACTGATGAAAAGTGCTATATAAGAACTCAACATTATCATCTTACAAGAAACCTCTACCATTTGAGCTAAGACAGCATAGGTACTGGAACTAGGGGTGCTGCTGCACCCCCTGGCTTGGAGTGGTTTCCATTAGATATAGGGTTTACAGCTTGGTTCAATGGCTCTCAGCATCCCCACGATATACATTGTTTCAGCTCCCCAGTAAGACAGAGTTTGCTAGCTTACAAGACCTCTGGCCAACAGTTGAGCAGTTCTGATTCCATCCAGTAGAGAGCAGTGGGGCACATACACTCACTGAGCTAGTGCATGAAAATACAAATTTTTGGAACCCTCACCATGTTGCACAAGCTAAATGTAAGGCCTAAAACTAGCTGACAGCATCCCTTTAATAATCAGAGAGAGGTGAATTCTTACCCTCAGAGTTACGGGCAGCATGTGTTATGTCCTTGGCAATACTTAGTAACTAGCTCCCATTTTTCTCCCCAGGCACTACCAAAACTAGCTGTTGCAAGTATTTTATAGCAGCAGATTCTTATTCATTTTCCTTTCTGCAGGATACTCCATGCTGCAGAGCAAAGAGGTCATTCCTGTAGCAGCAATAAGCCTGCTCCCCCCTCTGCTCGTGGCTGTCATGATAACGGTGATATTTTACCTCTGCCGCACCCAGAAGCGGAGAAAGAGAGCCAAGGACTGGGGTCAGAAGCACACACAGCACCAGGCTTTGCCCAAGCCAGGAAAAGCCGCTGAGGACGATGAGAAATTATCTGTGATGACAGATGACAATCACTCCAGCATGAACTTCACCTGTGCCAACAGCATCAACCATAACACCGAGCTGCTGCCCATTGAGCTGGATGAGATAGTGGGGAAAGGCCAGTTTGCCGAGGTCTGGAGGGCCAAGCTGAACCACACCACTTCAGGGCAATACGAGACAGTAGCTGTTAAGATTTTCCCATGCGAGGAATATTCCTCTTGGAAAAACGAAAGCCAGATCTTTACAGATGCCAGCCTCAAGCATGAGAGCGTCCTTCAGTTCCTTACAGCAGAGGACAGAGGGTCTGGGCCCCGGAAGGAATACTGGCTCATCACTGCCTACCATAGCAGGGGCAACCTGAAGGACTATCTGTCCCGACACATTCTGAGCTGGATAGACTTACAAAAATTGGCCAGCTCCCTGGTGAACGGCGTGGCCCACCTGCACAGCGACTACACTGCCTGTGGCAGGCCAAAGATCCCAATCGCTCACCGGGATATCAAAAGCACCAACATCCTGGTGAAGAGCGAGTGGGAGTGCGTGATTTGTGATTTTGGCATTGCTCTAAAGCTAGACCCTTCCTTAACAGCGGATGACTTTGCTAACAGTGGGCAGGTGAGCGAAGCCAAAGCTGGGTTATTGACTTAACTTTACAGAAATTCTTGGTGTCACTTAACAACACATCTCAAGTATTCCATAAGCTGAAAACCACATGCTGCCAAATGCAAGGCTATGCTGGAAATGAGACAGAGTGTGTGGGGAGAGGGGAAGTATGAGAACTTTATGAATTCGCTCACATGCCATTTAGATTTAAAGCAGAAATTTAACAAACTAGAGTTGCTCATCTGATCAATGTGCTCAGTCTTGGACTGGGATGTGTTTAGGCATACCCAAACGCAGTACAGTCATTGATCTTCTTCAGGCCCCAGGGAGGGAGTTTAGATGTTTCATTGCATAGTAATGCTTAATGATGATGATAACGCACAAACTATCTACTGTAGCTTTTCTAAAAGAGCTGGTGCAGGAGTGAGACTCAGATACCCTGTGATGGGGCCCACCTGCGGAGTCATTAGGCAGACAGTGCGTGGTCATTGAACTCCCTGTGGCTGCTCATAATGAAGCTGAACAGGAGGAAGAAAGGTTGGAAAACCATCTTATATACTCCTAGTGCTTAGCAGTTGGTGTTAGTTTGCTCCTGAGCAAGAACAATCAGGCCACGAAGATGTTTCAGTGTTTTTCACCTACTCAACTCAGTTGTAACGTGGCAGGTACTTACCATGCTGCAGCTGCTCTCAGATATATTTGCTAATCTCTGTTCTTTTTCTGGCTAGGTTGGCACTGCCAGGTACATGGCTCCTGAGGTTCTAGAGTCTAGAGTGAATCTGGAAGACCTGGAGTCCTTCAAACAAATGGATGTCTACTCCATGGCCCTGGTTTTATGGGAAATGGCCTCCAGGTGTGAGGTTGTAGGAGGTAGGAAAACTGCATAGTCCCATGTATTCCCTTCTTTCTAGAACCAAAGGCCATACGAGCTAGCCCCAGCATTTTTGTAACAATCACCTTTAGACAACAGTTTCCATGCTCTCTTCCCACCAAGCAACAATCAGTCCATTACATCTCCCATTGATACAATCCTGCTGCTCATCTCACATACAGCTCCGTCTTGGATGCTCAGCAGTTCCTGAGGGGTGCTGGGCACCAATGGAAGTTAGATTCTCCAGCACCTGGTAGGATCAGGCCTGCGATCTGCTAAGCATTCCCTGCTTGCTACATGCCAGCTGCAGAATGGTCTTCAGGCACAGGTTCTCAGAAGCCATGATGGTGTGCAGGATAAACAAATGCCCATGGAGAAAAGAGCAGGATCTCCACGTTAGTTCCCCATTTTTGGAGGCTGTTGTCCATGGTGATGGAATACTACAAAGGGGAGGGAATGGGAACAAGAGAAAAAGGTGGGTCTAAAAAGAGCTCCTGGGTGAATCCTAGCCCCACTGGAATCAATGGGAGTTTCCCTAATTGACTTCAGAGGAGCCAGGATTTTATCCCACGCCTCCAAGCAGGCCCATAACCAGCCAAGTAAACATACCTACGTGCACAGAGCAGAGCCCTGCAGGGGCACATTCCTGGTGCTCCTCCCAGTTTCTAAAAATGACATGATTTTGACTAGAGACTGATGGGATCCTAGGGGCTCTCATCCCCCCAAAAATGTGAAGCACCCAGTGAAGACTTCGGCATTTCAGAAGGCAGATTATACACATGTGAGTGCAGACAGTGAGCTAGCCTGGGAATTAACTAGCTCACCAGAGGGAAGTTATGTTCTATTAAAACAACAACAAACATATATCAAAGCCACCAGGCCCTGAATATACACATTTCCCATCAGCCAGGCACATAAAAATATTGCAAACTGCATTAACAACGCAAAAAAAAATAATTTATATTATATATATATATTAAGAACCAAAGCAGGCTCCCCGTCCCTTTAGACAACACCATGAAGCTCATCTACCTCCCATCCAAAAGCTTCACAAGCTTGGGCATCCTACCCAGTCATGTCCCCATGACATTTTGATCAGTATCTATTTCATTGTCATGTCCTGGCACCAATCTTTCTGTACAACAATTGACTATGATTCTTAAGTTTTCTCCTTTTCCTTCTCTGCCTGTCTTTCCTTCAGGCTTTCAGCTTTCCCCCATTTTCCTTATGATTAATCCCCCCCCACCTCCATCCAAATCTCCCCATTCGCCTCAGCCCTCTCTCCCCGCTATCCATACCCCCTCCTGCATTCTCTGAGCTCTCCTGGCCTCCTTTAAGCCCCCACAATTCACTCCAGTCCCCTTTCCCATGCCCTGTGCAGGGAGTGGAATGGTTCCTGGAACAGAGGAGACTCTCACATCAAAAAAGAGGACCATTGCTAGGATCTGGGATGGGAGAAAGCAATGGAGATCCTACCCTCCTCTTTCAGCAATCCCTACACAAACCAAGGGGTAGCAAGAAATGCCATTCTTTGCCATGAAAGCTGCCCGAGAACCCTCCCCTCTGCTACACCACAGAGCAAAAGAGAAAAAGGCTCACAAGGCTCACATAAAAGGGAAAATGAGTCTGACTTACAATTGCTGTGGCATCTAGAAACCTCCCACCATTCCCCTTTTTAACTTGATACACACGGATATAAAAGCACCTCAAAAATCTGAAAATTAAAGGCTGAAGCGAGTCACTGTATCTTAGACCCTTCCTGACAAAAGCTTAGCTGGCAAGAAGAGTTTTGCACCGTATTCTGAAGGGTAAGTCTCTCAACTCCCCCATGCCACAAGAGGTAGCTATTTCCACAGCTCTGGAGTCTCCATCGGGAACACTTCCCGGTCTCCTACTCTCAAGAGGGCACATGTACAGTCTGTGAGTGGGTCTCCGCTCCCAAAGTCACTCTCTGAAAACACTAACCGAATCTGTGATGAAATAGTGCCGTCACAAGGAGGCAGGAGGCCAAAAGCAAAAAATCCTTTCCAACAAAAAGATTCTGAAATGTTTTAAATTTTTTTTTTTTTTTTTTTTTTTTTTTTAAAGAATCAGTGTTTTCTCCTCCTGCCTTTTCATTTGCAAGTCCACTGAGGTCACGTACAGCAGGGGCTGCTGTCATGTTTTTGCAAATTTAAATTCGGTGGGGGAAGGGGTCATTTTAAGTTAATGATGAACCAAAGTTAAGCCTGAACCAAAACCCTGCTCCAACACTCCTGACCTTTGAGGATATTAAGCTCTGCATCCAAACTTTGTGGCTCTAGACCGGTCTACAAAAATCATACTCTTTCTGGTTCAGTGCCATGGACAGCAGCCAGATCAACAAACACATGCATACCACCAAACCATGAAAGACATCCGGTAATGCTCCTTTGATTTATCACTTAGAGATAAAAAGTTACGAGCTACCTTTTGGGTCAAAAGTCCAGGAGCAACCCTGTGTGGATACCATGAGAGACATTGTGCTGCACGGCAGAGGGCGCCCAGAGATACCTTGCAACTGGCTAGTGCATCAGGTAAATACTAAATCAAAGAAAAGACTATAGCAACCCAAGTCATCTATACATTGTCCTGACTTGGAATGGACATGATTATTCTTGAATGACAATATCAGTATATCTATGGTCCAAATCACCTGAATCACAAAGACACTGGAGGAAGGGGGTGTTTCATAATTGCCTAGGTAACTTAGGAACTCCTAAATCATGTAAGCACTTTTGAAAAAAAAAATCCCACCCCTATTCCTCAACTTAGCTCATTTGAGAAATAGACTCGATGTTAGGAGCCAAAACCTATAGCTTAGAGCAAGTCACCTGTACACACTGTGCAATTGCTCACTTAATTCACAGGGTATTGGTTTCTGCTTCCTAAATGGAGGTCCTCTAAACCCACAAAGAGTTTTCAAGATGGCCACACACACAACACTTGCAGAATAAAATTTGAGCCCTGCATTTGCTACATTTTGCATGAGCCTCTCTAACAAAACACTATTTGTATAAACACTCGTAGGAATGGAAAGAACCATGCTGTAAACAGTGTCAAAATGAATCTGTGGCTTCTAGCTGGAAGAAAGTTTGTGAGCACATTTTTGGCAATGTTCACTCAGCTGCTATAACTTGCATTTGAAGCCAGTCATTAGCCCTCAAATCTCACAACTATGTTCTTTAAATTTTTGAACATAGGGTGCAGATTTGCACCCTACCTGCTTTTAGGTAAAATTTGGAACTGCAGATAAAATATGCACCTACTTGAGGCTATGCCAAGCTAGATTCCAAAGGCCCAGCTCTCCCTCGATTGATTTTTATTAAGCTGAAAAAGGGTTGTGTTTCAGATCATGATCCTTATCTTCCCCTGGCACATTAGAGTTAGTTCTCCTAAAATGTGTGTGTGACAGCCACCTGCTGGGAGGAAAAATAGAACATGTGTTTATTCATTCTACAACTATTTCCCACCCCACTACCACCTGTGATGTCAGGGTCGGGCCTGATGGCTACAGGACAGTAATAGAAGGCAGATGTATTAGCCCCAGGTTAAGTAGGTCCCTTTTCCCTGGGTAAGGTAACAGGGCAATCAGGAACCATCTGGAGACAATTAAGACAGACAGGCTGATTAGAACACCTGCAGCCAATCAAGAAGCTGCTAGAATCAATTAAGGCAGGCTAATCAGGGCACCTGGGTTTAAAAAGGAGCTCACTTCAGTTTGTGGTGCGCATGTAAGGAGCTGGGAGCAAGAGGCGCTAGGAGCTGAGAGTGAGAATACATACCATTGGAGGACTGAGGAGTACAAGCATTATCAGACACCAGGAGGAAGGTCCTATGGTGAGGATAAAGAAGGTGTTGGGAGGAGGCCCTGGGGAAGTAGCCCAGGGAGTTGCAGCTGTCGCACAGCTGTTCCAGGAGGCACTCTAGACAGCTGCATTCCACAGGGCCCTGGGCTGGAACCCGGAGTAGAGGACGGGCCCGGGTTCCCCCCAAACCTCCCAACTCCTGGTCAGACACAGGAGGAGTTGACCTGGACCGTGGGTTCACAAAAACGGTCAAACTGAGGGCTGCCGTGAAGCTTCAAGGCGAGCAAATCCACCAATAAGCGCAAGACCCACCAAGGTACAGGAGGAACTTTGTCACAGTCCTTACTACTTAGAGGAACATTATCCGTTTGATACTGAGAGACTGGCACAAGTAACTCATTTTAACCCACAACCCTCCCATGAAGAAAAAATGAGAACAGGCTCCAAGTTCAATGCACTGCTCAAAATGCCAGCTCCTTTTGTCCTGACCATTTTAGGCTGAGATTATCAAAGGCACCTAAATGAGTTAGCCACCCAGATCTGGTGCCTAAAACTCCCTTAGACTGTTGGAAATTCCAACTTTAACGTAAAGCTGTTAAAACAACCACAGACACATTTACTACCCTATATTGTAAATGTGACATGACTCAAATGTAAAATCAGGTTGAATTTAAAAAAATATATATATATCTAGTTGTGCCATTAGAAAAGCAAGAAGAAACTTTTTTCAACTTGCTTCTTGTCCTCTTAGCCTAGAAGTCGCCTGTTTTAAAGGATCTAATTTATTTCTAAACTAACTTTTTTTAAAAACAAAATGTTTATTGCAGGGTAAAATAAGACATTCGGGAAAGTGGTAGATAATCTACTACTTAATCAATACAACCAGGACAGATGGCAAAGCTGGGTTCTATCTGTGGAAACTTTATTAAAAGATTAGGTTGAAATTTGTTCATTGTTAAGTGAATCTAAATCTTTTCAGTAAGACAAATACATGAATTATTTTAGGAGGTATTGAAATGCGGTCTCTATCACTTTAAATAGACAACTCCATTCTCTCTAACTTTTGTCATCCCAATGTATATTCCTTAATCGGAAGAGAGAGACTGGTCTGAGATTTGTGTGAGGGGTCAGAAAAGGGTATCGAGAGTATTGGAGAAATACTTCAAAATATAATACTTATCTTTAGCATTAGGGTCCTTGAGGTTTTTAGCGATATTGTAATTGTGAATGCACAGAATACACAAATCCATTGAAAACTATGAACATGTTTTATTTAGAAGAATTTCCTCTTTCCAATAGTGGCTGTTGCAAATTTGACATGATGATGTAAAATGCAGTAGCACGAATTAGGAATTGTGGGGTGAAAGGAAGGTTAGACACAGCTTCTGTGCAGTTGTTAGCTCACAGAAAAAATTATTGGCCAGTCAACTGCCATTTTATTTCTACACCTGACAGTTCTGGTCTCTTTTTAAAAGCACTATAGGATAAAAAGTAATCGGCTGTACAGAGTTTTGGCTATTATAATGGAAAGACTAATGTGCTAGGGAGTGCACTGACAAGCCTGGGTGAAAAAGTATTTCCTCTGGTGGTCAGTAAACAAACCTTTTGCTTGTGTATCACTATGTTCTTTGGCATGATTTCCTGGGGAGAAAACGGCAGTACAGCACACTGGATTTTAAAAAGGGTAAGTTTAGGAAAGACGAACTGCTCTGGTAAAGTCATTTCTTCTCCGCACAGAGAGGCATCGTGCTCCAGGGGATGCGTCCCAGGAATGCATGTCAGGAGACTTGGGTTCTAGTCTGAGCTTTACAGCCGGCCTGCTGTATGACCTTGGGCAAGTCACTTCACCTCTCTGAGCCTATTCTGCTACCCACCTTCTGAAGGCTCCAACCCCCTAGACAAAACAGATGAAAGGAGACTAAGGGAGTTGAGCACTTAACTCCCTTAAGCGCCTTTAAAAATCTCCCTCTTAGGTTATAAACTTTGAGTCAGTTTAGCTATGAGACTAGGTAATGCCTAGCACAGTGAGAGGCCCCATCTGAGATAGGGACTCTAGGTGTTCCTGTAATACAAATATTAAGTAATAATTAGAATGGCAGCATTTACCACCAGTTATGACCCAATAGTATCTGTGAAACCGCTGTTTCCTGTGTACTTAGAATGGGAAATAACTGCAGTAACATTGAGACAATTACAGGTTTCAGTGTAACAGCCGTGTTAGTCTGTATTCGCAAAAAGAAAAGGAGTACTTGTGGCACCTTATAGAGACTAACCAATTTATTTGAGCATAAGCTTTCGTGAGCTACAGCTCACTTAATCGGATCCGATGAAGTGAGCTGTAGCTCACGAAAGCTTATGCTCAAATAAATTGGTTAGTCTCTATAAGGTGCCACAAGTACTCCTTTTCTTATTGAGACAATCACCTAAAGCACCGTAATCCTAGAATTTCAAAATGTGGATTTCCCATGCCTCTCTCTCCTGACCCTACAAACCTGATCTCAGATCATCTCGTTTCAGGGAATGCACTTTCTGTGTGACACCATCACAGAGTGTTGGGACCATGACCCCGAGGCTCGCCTTACAGCCCATTGTGTGGCGGAACGGTTCAATCTGATGGAACAAATGGACTGTGATGACATCCTCAACAACAATACAGACAACGAAGGCAGCAAAACAGCCCCTCTAAGTGGGGAACAGTGACGGGAATAGAAATACCCAGTGACAGGAGGAAATGAAAGCCTCGTATCAAAAAGAAACAAGGAGATAAAAGACAAACACGTGGCTCTAAAAAACAAACAAACAGATCTCAATTCATCTTCCTAAAATGAACTAAGAGCTAGTTTATAACTTATTTATCGGAACCTTTCACTCCATAAGTACAATGCAAAGAGCCCTGGGATCAATACTTTGGCTAAAGTGCCACATTGTTTAGAAATTTATTATTTTGTACTTAAGTGTACAATGTTAATACATTTTCTTTATTATTTTAAAATTAATGTTTAACCTTTATTAATAAGCACCTGGATTCCACCTCTATTCCTTTAAGTTTATTTTTTTCCATGTTCATTCTTGCACCACTGAGCTTTACCCCTAATTTTCTAGCCTTTCAAACCTCAGGTGTTAGACAGGAGCTCATTAAAACAGGCATTGTCTCCGATTACCCATTCAGAGATCAGCCAGCCCTTTTCATATTGCAAGGAGATACCTGAAATTAGATTAGCAAAAGCCTGATTGGCTTTAACACCAACGCATCTTTTTCCAATGTATAATTCCTGGGAATACTTGACTTTTCCAGCTGTGTGTTAAGAGTACAAAGTTACTTGGCTAAAAAAACGAACAAGAACAATTCAGAGAATGTGGTTCAACTCTAAATAGCACTTATGCAGAATGTCAGCTAAGTATTAATTTCAAGTCACATGTCTCCTGACTCCCAGCTATCTTCTAAATCAAACTAAAGAAGATATATTGTAACAGCACGTGCACTTTAACGGTGATATCGGCAAGATGACTGGGGAGAAGGTCTAGTTCATCACATAGATGGTTTCCATCTCCACCTTCTGTGATCCAAGAGTCAAGTGGCAAATGACATGAAGGTTGGTGGGGCTTGGACCTTCCTTTCCAATTACAGCAATACTGTGTTGGGCTCCTCCCCTCTACTGGAAAGGCTCTTAGCTGAATGGCAGAAGATAAGGTAAGTCACGCCCCACTTCCAAACCTCTTCATTGACCCAAACCCTGCTCCTCTCCTCCACACACACACTCCCATGCACAGCGAGGACTGAAAGGCAATGAGAAGAGTGTGGCTCTGCTGTGCAAGGAAGCCTGCAAGCTCTGGCACGATAAAGTCATCTCCACGAAGGCAATGTATGGGGTGGCATTCAGAGGGGCACGTTGCCCATAAGTCTGCAACTGCATGGATCTACCGTACAGGTAAGGGGAAGGGTGGGAAAGAGTAGCACAATGGCTGTGCGGGATTTTGCAATCTTTGATATTGGGAGGGATTCTGTATAAAGCCTCCTGATTCTGGATTTGCACCGCTTCAGTGGAGTGTGACCTAAATTAAAAAGGCTCCTCCTTCCTAGATCCTCCCAGCTGTGTTTCCATCTCTCTCTCAGGTTCTTACATGGGGCAAAGGAGAGAGACTGTCTGAGTATAGATGTGGGTGTCACAGAAGCATCAATTCTAGGGAATGTTTTTATTGAAAAGGTTTTCTAGGTATTCTGGTGGGCACCTATTTTAAACCTCCATCTCATAGCCCCTGGCCACGCGCTGTGGTTCAATCCTCTCCCCTGACTCCTCTGTACCTCCTCCTCCTGCTTGGGACTTGGGGCCTTCTTTCAAGCGGCTCTCTGCACTTGGAACAGCTTCCCTTCTCCCGTTTACCAGGAGCATCCTCCCTTTCCCCTGCACCTCACTTCTTTTTCAGCCACTAATCACAATTCTAATGTAACCCACTTCCTCTCTTACCACCGATTACACAGAAAGAGCAAGACAGCCGTCTACAGCGTACACTTAGGAAAGAAAAGTTGAAACTGCCACTCCCACATCTAAGGGCTGCAGGTGGCTAATATGAATTCTGCATTAGCTTTTGCAGCTCCAAGTTTGAAACTGACACTACGAGGAACAAACAGTGCAACTCACAGAATAAGTATAAACTTAAGATGCTTCCAAAGGCATCCTGAACTCTCTCTCACAAGGGGAGCTGTATCCACCAAAGTGTGGGGGGAAGCAGAACATTGTAACCAAGAGTAAAGCCTACTTATTATATCCTAGGGTTGAAGTCCAATTCCTTTGCAAAGTGAGTATACATAGTCTCTGGGCGATACTGTAAAGAGCACGTGGGGGCCAAGATCGAGACACACTAATTTCAGTGCTACCATCCATCTTTGCCCCATTTACAGCCATTTTAATCAACAATCACACAATGTATGGTTTCTATACATCCGCACTTGCTTAGGGGACATCTATTCTCCTTGGCCAATTATCTAGCAAGTTTGTACTGGTCAGTAAATTGCCTTTGAAGATTACCATCCCACTGATATTTCACTGGCTATTTAAGAAAGTTGTGACTGTCACTTTCTATTTAGTCCCAATTTTCCAAGAATAGCTGAAACTAAACATTTGTGTTTAGTTATATTGCTGTCTGCTTTCAGACTGAAAGTGATTGTTTCTATTGATTTTGTCCAAATGTTTCACTGAAATACTTCTAACGGTCCAGGAAAGAAACATTGACACACGAAAAATAGTATGTAGACATCTGATTCTTCACCTTCGATGTCAATGGAAATTTTGTCATTGACTTAAACAAGTGCAAGATCAAGCCCCACCAGAAAGAGGGAGGATGGAACATAGGCCCAAATATTGCATTGTGCTGGGCCCCCACAGAGCTCCACTGTATGGAACTGTAGGATCAGAACCACAGACAGGGCTTGAAGGTTTGCTTACAAAGTAGCAACAAATACTTCCCTCCACTGCAGGATTTACAGGGCGGAATTCTGTGGCCTGTGTTCTGCAGGAGGTCAGACCAGATGGTTGTAGCAGTCCCTTCTCATCTAATCCTCCGAAAATCTATCAACCTAGATCAAAAATTGTATCTTATGATTTCACTAAGATTCTTAAAGGAGTCACATAAAATTCATATTGTTTGAATCTAATAGTCAATAGTAAGAAATATGGAAAATGGTCCACAATTACCATTACATCCTTTATCTCCCCAGCAGAACTGACAAACTGCTTTAACACACTGTAGCTGTAGCCGTGTTGGTTCCAGGATACTAGCTTTAAGACAGGAGTTAAAATCCAGAACATTAAACCTCTTCCAGCTATGGATGATGATCACCTGAACAACAGAGGAAATTCCTAGGTGGTCTTTTCAACACCTTCATGTTGAAGGAGTCTTGCCTCGCATATTAAAAAGACAATTCCTTTAGCAATCAATGTTGTTCCATTTGGTACACTATCGATATTAGCTACAGTGATATTAATGTGAAACCAGTCATACCAAGTGGGAGAAATCTGACTAAAAACCAGAAAATAAGAAAAGCCATCAAGATTAAGACTGAAATGTCACCTGAACTCACCCCCTTTATAAATAGGTATCCAGGAGTGGCTCCAGGTCACATTTTTAAGTAGGGGATTGTAACTTGCTTTAACTGCATGTGCTTATTAACAGAGGACACTTTTGAAGGAGGAACTTGGTCTCCTGCTATAGCAGCTCAGGTATTTAAATTAAGATCTGCTGTGGCTGCTGCTGCTTTGAAGCCTGGACTGTGTGCTACCACACTGACCCTTGCAGGAATCCTGTGTCACAAAGCCCGTTTTGTTTTTTTTAATTAATAGCCGTGAACTAAGCATCAAATTATGAGGAAGGCTCAGTTTATTTTACTGATTTCCCCTGCCTGCAACAGCAGGTCTAGACCCCAGAACCAGAAGAACTGCTTGACCTAGTCTATGTCCACACCTTGGTGTCCTGGGTTACATGATGATCTCAAAGGGAAAATCACCACCACTTGCAGCATGGAGCCTGACATATAAAAGAAGCATGCACACTCATGCTCCAGAGCCAGGCAGGAACCCCCACTCTCCACAGTGGGGTTCCTGCTCCGTCCATGGGACCTGGTTAATAGCCTATGAACTGCTGCCACTCTTCGGCACATGGCTGGAGGGAGAATGGCCACACCCAGGATGGGACAGCACCACCTCAGCAGAGAACCCTCTGGAGTGCTGGGTTGAGTCAGGGGCGGGGTCCTCTCCAGTGCCTTCTGGTGGGATGTCCCCAGACAGCAGCCAAATGCTGGGGAAGGTGGCATCAGAAGGTGCCCCGCTGTGATAAGTCACAGGATAGTGGTGGGGGTGTCTGCCACTACTGGTCTTGAAGGTCACCCTTCTCACCTTCCGGGCTGGGTGTGGTACACGAGCAAGGAAACCTCAGGGCGCCACAAAGCCAGCAGAGAACTCTGTACATTTCCTTCCACCACAGCAGACCCCTCGGAACCATTATCCCTTGCCACTTACTTCTCTACTAGGGGCTGAAGCCTCCCTCCTTCTCCTGGACAGTTCCCAACCCAGCCAAAGAAGGGAGTAGGCAGCCAAGGAGGGGGGAGACCCCACATTTCAGATGGATTTTTCATAGATAGCCCCTGCCACCACCATCCCAAGGGCCCTGGATTGCCCTAACTGAGCACTGGCAGTGACAGAGTTAGCAGTGTAATGCTATTAGCATGTGCATAAAAGCTAGACCTCTGAAATAGCTGGGGACAATACAGTGGGTAAAGGATAAAGTTTCTGCATTCACTCTGATTTCTTTGCTTCTGTGGATTTAACAAACAGGCCCTTGCACACCATTACCATGTCATTAAGCCTGTTATTAATACGCTCTCTCTATATTCCTTTAAGACACATTCATAGATGGAGCAGTAAGAGTGTACACTGACAATAAGCACAGCCTGTCAATCGAAAATCCTGAGTGAACCATTAAAAAAGCATTAAAACCAACAGATATTCTGTTTTCTTTACATCTTAATATTTTGGCTAGTATAAAGTGTGTTTTTATAATAACGATTAGTCAAAATTATAGCAACATTGCCTTTAAAATAAATTAAGATTTATTTTTCAAACACAAGGGCACTAAGCCAGTAGTTTCAGTTTTTAACATTACTCCTTCTCTGAATTTAAGACACTCTAAACAATTTATTTCAAAATTTGTAAGGAAAAATAGAGGGTATTCTATACAAAGTTAGAAGCATATAGTTTACACAGGGCCTAAACTGCACACGCTTCTTCAGAAGGAAGTTATTCTGACAGGTACGGGTGGTCAGATACTACGGCTTGGGGAGGCCGTGGAAATATGGCTAGACATACATGAAAGAATGATGTACGCACAATATTCATCCTAATCACCAGGACTCTGGGAAAACAGACAAAACAAGCTAATCATTTTGTAGTTTTATTTTTCCCCCCCATTTTTCCTCACACATGGACTCTTTATGACTTATATTCAGAGCAAAATGTACAAGGGAATCAAAGTAGTTGTGCATAAACCCAAACTTTTTTTTACTTTTTTTTTTGCGCACAATTTACAGTTTTTTGTTGAATGTTAACATGGTTATTTAAATTTTCTTTGATGCCTTCTTACATTCTTATGTCTTCAATGGAAAACATCTTACCAGATCACACTGTTACGAGTTCTCACGATGATGGAACAGGTCAAGCCATTTACAACGGCTGGTGAGTGGCAGATAATGTTATATACACTGATTGGAAGACTACATCAGAAGAAAAAACAGAGTAAGGCACCACTCTTGGAAAATTAAGGTAGCTTGTAGTAACAATAATGAAAGACAATCAGTACTACTCATAATTGCCAGCAATTCTTAGACTTCAATAAAATACTTACACTATAAAAAATGAAGGATGTTTGTACCTGAATACATTTTCCTGATATCTGATTGTATGTACATTAAAACACAGTCTCCAGCAAAATAAACCTTTTCATGTACTATGAAAAAACCAAACCACAGTCCGTGTGTTCAATGGTCACATTTAACTGCTGTTTTTTGTTGTTCTGAACAAATATACAAAGGAGAAAAATCAAACCAATCCAATGGACAGCATGTAACACTGGCACTTCACCTCCAAGATGATCCCATGCACGGAGATGAAGAAATTAATACAACCGTGGTTTTATGGTTGCTGTTCAGTTTGAAAGCCTTAGTCCTTGGGGGGGGGGGGGGGGGGCCTAAACTTCCTTACATTTGCAATGTGAGCAAATCCTAAACAGTCACTCAGAAAGTGAGATTTAATAAAATTAGGAGCTGAAAAGTGTTCTGAATTATTCTTCCAATTCAATTCTTTCAAGTATACTAAAATGTTTCAGAGGAAAAAATGTCTCCATGGTTACAATTCCAATCAATTTTATAAATCCTTAAAAAAAAGGGTAGCCTCTACTTAGCTTCCACATCCCTCCAGGGCATGCACATATTCCTTCTGAAGGAAAAAAGTCTTGTCAAATCCAGATGATTCTTAACACTGATTCCAGGTGCAGCTTCTGAAACCTCCTCCAGGTTTCTGTCAGGAGGTTAATCGCCGGGTATACAAGCAACAAAACTTTTTTTTTTTGTTTACATGGGTACTGAGTATTTCAGTGTTATTGAACAGAGCTCAGTGCACAGATTCTCAGAAAAGGTTCACGTGTCACTCCAAAGGTAAAGCCATTGAAGCAACAACATTTCATCTGACTTCTGCTGCTCAGGAAGTCAAATGGTTTATATCTTAGGCAGCTTGCAGTAGGACCTGCTTAAAAGATTACATAATTTAGATAAAATCGTTTGGATCATACAAAAACAAGTTGGTGAACATACCTGGCAAGGTGGTCTCTACACCTTTGATTATGTGTAACCTTTAAAGTGCCCTAGTATTGTATTCCTTTACGCTCATTTGAATTTGTGCAATTATAAAAACAGGGGACACAGTGTTATTTACTGTGTTTTGAGAGTGACAGAGATTAGATAAACAGAGAAACTCATCCTGAAGAGTCTTATCTAGTTAGTGTCCACTTGCTGAGTCTGTATGGTGGGGACTGTTTTCCAAAGGGGATTATAATACACCCAGCCATCTCCCTGCAATTCAAATGGGAGGGGGGAAAAAAAAGTTACACAGAATTATAATAAAAGAATTCACATAGAAAAGTATTTTGTGATGCCAGGTGTTGAACTGACAGCACTGGAAACTAGAGGTACACATCTTATGTATACCATAGATATCAGTGCAAGCTTCCCCACAGTCTCTGCTCTGGAGAGACCATCTCTAGGGATGAGGATATCTAAGGGCTTGGCACACGCTATGTCTGAGTGTGGACAAGCTAGGATGTAAATCTACAGTGCACTAGTCTGCCACACACTAAGTCACAGTGTGAGCCCTATTATCATGCACTAGACTAGAAGGTCTCTAGTGCACCTTGTTATCTGGCTGTTTTAAACAGAATATGCCAAAGTGCTCTACAGAACTTTCAGGGTGTGACAGTAGTGTCCACACAGCCAGTTAGCACACAGAAAGTTAATGCACTGCAGATTTACAGACCCTGGCTTGTCACACAGTAACTGACCATGTAGACAAGCCCTAAGAAATCATGCTCATTCCAGTCAAGTACAGTATTCTGCTGGGACTAACAACAGCAGCAGCAGTCAGCCCTAACTGATGTAGATATGAGGATGGAACCCTGGCACCCTGTGGTCTGGATTGAGACCAGCAGCTTATTTTGCAAAGGCTCAGCAAACAGCCATCAGAGAGAAATGGCTTGTGCTCACAAGCAAACTGGGCTACATTTGAACTGAGGATCTGGAGATGAAATGGTTCTGGATCTTATTTACCCTACTCTGAGCCACCCAGTATCTCAAATTCTGCTTTCAAATAAAATATCTGAAAACAACGTTGTTTTTTAAAACCACACAACCTGCATTTCTCCTGTCAACAAACTACTTGATTAAAAAACATTCTTAGTCCGAAATATTTACTTCTTGCGTTCACAAGTTAAAGGTAGCAGTTTCCTTGTGCGGTGAAAATTTTTGTATGCAAAAGTGATATTCTCTCCCAAATTAAAAATTTTATCTCGTTAAGTCACTCTCTCTTTGCTCACTTTGCCACAAATAAATACACATCAGCGAAAGTTTTCAGAAACCAAAAGTCAAAGTTTATTTAGATTTTTAGATAACACTCTGAGATCTAAGAGGCTACTTAAGCAAAGTTTCTGAACCATGAGAGATGGGGATTTGTTACTGAGGGTATGTCTACAATGCAATTAGACACCCACAGCTGCCCCAAGCCATCGGACTTGGGCTCCAGCAAAGGGTCTTTTTAACTGTGGTGTGGACATTCAGGCTCGGGGACTTTCCCACCTTGCAGGGTCTTAGAGATTGGGCTGCAGCCTGAATGTCTATATCGCAATTAAACAGCCCCTTAGCCTGAGTCAGCTGTGTAGACATATCCTGGGTGAAAAGGAATACTCTGCAGTGGTCCCTTTGATTTAGCTTTAGAATACCCTGCAGTTTGTGGTTCGGAACCATATCTAGTTCCAAATATTTTAAACCTTCTGCTGAACTGGAGATAATTTTTTGCTTTTCATATTTTACTGTACTGTTGCATTTGTGATCACACAAATTTGTCACAATATGGATCTGAAGCTCCACAGCATAGCTGAAATATACACCTCTATTCCCTCCACAGAGGAGGGCCAGGCTGCCTACCTCAGCAGCTGCTAGTTTCCACATGGGAAAGAAAATCTGCTCTAAAGCGGTCACACCAGAAATTCCTAGTCTTTTGGGGCATCTTTTACAGATAACCAGGATAACAGCTTGATCATGCTCCAACCATTGAATGGACAAGCTGCATTAAAACCTGAAATCTACATTAATGAAAAGCTGATGAAGAGCTGGTAGTCACAATGATGTTTTTGTTTTATATGCACACGGTGCAATCAGCTCCAATAGCTTCCTTTGTGTTTTGTTCAGGTATTCATGGTCCACTTTTAAACCACATCACAGTTTCCATGTGTCTCAGCTGAATTGTAAAAGTTGTTTACTTTTGAAGGAAGTTAAGCCACACAAAGAAATGCTTGCAGTTGTGGGGTCATAATTGCAAAACCAGGGAGCGCTGTGAGCTAGTAGATGATGTTCTCCTGCATGCTAGGGGTTTGGGTGCTCTTAAACCATCTGGCTGTTTTACAAGGCAATCCAGATTCCCCAAAAGATGAACTCTGAAGCAAAAGGCCAAGTACTTTACCCTGACAGAAGACTCAGATTGAACAGCAACTGGCTGTTCTAGGATTGATATTGTGGATATAAGTTCTTATAACAGCTAGCAAAATGAAAAGTGTAAGAGAGTGTGCGTGTGCGTATCCCACATTAAGAATGACAGAGAACCAGCAGGCAAAGGAAGGAAGAGGGAGCTCCCCTCAGGGCTCTAAAGGGATTTTTCAAGTTAGAGGCTTAATAACCAAGTTCTTGGGACAGCTTGAGAGGGTCAGAGGTAATAAAGACCCCATTCAAGTCATATGATTTCTTAAACCACTTGGTAAGTTAGTATAGAAGACTACTCTTTTTCTAGTGCTGGTTACTCTGGGTGAAAAATACATTAGTGCTCTGGAAATAGAGTCACTGTATATTTTTATGCCTTTATAGAAACTTATCAAAAGCTACTGTTTCCATTTTTATTATTTATGAGCAAGGAACTAGGTCCTTAACACTTATGTTTCGTGCACAGAAGTTCTTTACCAACAACCATTTAGCTTTAGAGTCATTCAGTGTGGAATGAAAGAATCATAACATAAGAATAGCCTTGTATAGAAATGCATTGACTGATATTTCATTAAACGTATTATAAGATCCAAGGCCCTATGGCATGCTGTTATCAGCATTCCCTAGAATGTCCTCTATAGGCTCACGACCTGCACGTTAATATACATGCTCATATGTGCATTTACAATACATACATTTTTCACACACAATAGTTACTTACTTCTTTAACAAAGTATTTTGTGCTCCACGGTGCCTCTGTTTCAGCACGAAGTCTCTCTTCATTTCTCTGCCGTTCCTCAAGGGCTCGCTTATGCTCTGTTGCTTTATCGATGTCTCCATCCTTCAGAGACTCTGTTACATGTTGCCACAGTCGCCTACAAATCAGAAGGAAGGCTACAATTTAGTCACGGGTATTTTTAGTAAAAGAGTCATGGACAGGTCACAGGCAATAAACAAAAATTCATGGCCCATGACCTGTCCATGACAGACTATAAATATCCGTGACTAAATCTTGGGGGGGGACTTGGGAAGCGGGGGGCCGCTGCTGTGGGGGGGGGGGAGGTGG